AAACTGCCTGCCTCCGGGTTTGCATCCCAACTCCTTGCCCACAAGGTCACCAGAGCCCATGCCACAGATTAGAGCCCCTTACTAATTTTAGGTTTTATATTTAGATAGAATGTTGATCATCTTGAGGTACTTTCTCTATACTGTGTGAAATGCGGACCTTGTTTCCGTTTTATGCAAATGTAGTTGTTGTTAGGTGCCATCAAGTTGTAGACAACTCACAGAGACCCTGTGAACAAAAGACCTGAACACTGTTCAGAGTTTCCAGAGGCAAGCTATTTCAGAAGTGGATGCCATGCCTGCTTCCAAGCTTATTTTCATTGGGGAGCTCCACCAAACCCAGTTCACCACGGGTAACTATCATCGTCAGCTCCTGGAGATGGCTTTCAAGATGGATTCCAGCCTCATGCTGCCCACCAGGTTTTTTAATTAGGAGGTTGTGTCTCCTTCCCTCATGCTCACCGATCTTGGCCACCCAGCTCCTAGAGATGACTTTCAAATGGGTATACATGCTTTTTAAACTCTACAGTTTTGTCAGCACTGTTTGTTAAAGCAACTGTCTTGTCCCCACTTAAGTAAATTTTGACTCCTTCGGTCTTCCTTATATTTTGGTCATTAAGTGGTATAGCCCTGGTCTGTCCATTTGCTGTAATGCTGAACACTGTGACACGGATCTGTCAAAAGTTACTCATAGTGGACAGTGTTTGGTGGAGCTCCCCGATTAAAACAAGCTTGGAAGCAAGAGTGGCATCTACTTCCCAAATAGCTTGCCTCTGAAAACTCTACGAAGTTCATGGAGAAATGATGAAAGTTAATCATTCATAGGGTCATTATGAGTCATCTATGACTCGATGGCACTTAACAAAAACAACAACTTTTATATGCAAAGGAAGCCACTGGAAGTACTTTGGCTTGCATCAGGCACACGTTAGTCTTTCAACTGCCAGCCATGCTCTTCACATTTTTATACACACACACATTTAACAAGGGCGTCTGTCTCCTGTTTATGCCCCTCTTGGGAGCTTGAGGAAATGTTCTTCAATGACACATTTACCTGAAGAAAACACACACAGTGGGCTGAGCCCGATCCTACCCCCATTTGGGAGGGTTGTAACTGCTGCAGCCTTGTTTCTTGGCTTTTTCCTAACACGGGTCTTGAATCCCTTTGGTTTCTTGGCTCCCCTTACAGAGAGTTAGTATATTCTTCAGTTCTGGACATGTAGAGACAGGCTTTCTAAGCTGTTGGCTGCTGTGCTGTTTTCCGTGGCTCTAGGAGAATATTAACGAGGGTTGGTCTTTATTTCCCTTAGGAAGCACTGCACCTTCACAGACCTGACTTCATCTTCCGCTCTGGGGAGCGGCTGAAGCGGCTCAAGCTAATCGTCCAGGAGAGGAAACTGCAGAGAGTGTTGCAGAGCGAACGGGACGCTCTGTTCAGAGACTGGCCAGGCTGCGGGGACCACACGGGCCCACAGCATCGGCAAGGTACGTGCATGGTCACTCTCCTGTGGAGGAAGGCAGGCCAGGTCCGTGGCTGCTTTATCTGCACAGAAACTCACTTGATGCAGATTGAAACTCACATGGCTCAGGGCCCTACACGGCACAATTTCCTTCTAAGAACTGAGACGACAGGAGTGGACAGTGAGAGGGCTGTGCGATGCTGTTCAGGGGCTTGCGTTGACAGCACTGAGAGGGCTTGAAGTGACAGGAGGGTGCACAGATGGAGGTCAGGAGTGAAGGGACTGCGCAGAGCAAGGAGTGCAGTCAGGAGATGGTTCTGCAGTGAGGAGGACGCCACACACAGGCGTGTGCACTGAGGGATAGTCTGCAGTAGTGGGGGGATTCTGTAGACAGGTGTACAGAAGTGAGGGAGCTAATACACAGGGGAGTGTCCTAGAAGGGGGATTCTGAAGATGCCAGTGTGCACTGAGTGGACTCTCCAGTCAGGTGTGTGCCGTGAGGGGGATTTTACGGGGGAGAGTCCCACAGGAGGATTCCACAGAAGTAGGGTGCAGTAGGGGGATTATGGAAGCATGAGTTTGTGCAGAGAGGTGAGGACTCTGCAGGGGGAAGCGAACAGTCTAAAGGCAGAAGCTGCAGAGGGCCGTCAGTGAGAGGGGATTGTGCTCACAGGAGGATGCAGTGAATAGTGGGGTACCTCTGCAGAGGGACGTGCTCAGTCAGGAGTGTGCCTTTACAGGAACTCCACAGAGAAATGTGTGCAGACGGAGACTGTCCATAGGGGAGTGAGCCTCGGCCACAGGTGGATTCTACAGACAGGAGGTAGAGCAGAATGAGGGGTACTGTACAAAGGGGTGTGGGGAGTATGCAGAGTGGGAATCTACAGACAGGAGTGCGCCATTGCAGGGACTCTGCAAAGACTAATGGACAGGGCCATTACAGGACTCTACAGAAGGGAGGGTGGCATCTAAAGAGGGGAGTGCAGTGAAGATGTTTCTGCAGACAAGAGGGGATACGGAAGGGATTCCCTACCAACAGTGTGTGGTATTATGGGCGCCTACAGAAGGTCGTGTGCCATGAGAGTCTCTACAGAACAGTGTACAGTTAGGTAACTACAGAGGATTTGTGCAGTGGGGGGGATCTCTACAGATGAAAGGGCCCAGTGAGGAGTTTCCGACAGAAGGGAGTGTGCCGTACAGGGGCTCTGCACAGTGAGATGCACTCCACAGAAGGTGTGTGCACACACAGGGTTATGTGCTGTGTCAGGGATGGGTTCTGCGAGGGAGTGTGTAATGAGGAGACTTCACAGATAGGAGTGTGCAGGTAGGAGCTCTATAGAAGCTTGTGTTTACTGAGGGAGACCCTACAGAGGAGACTGTGCAGTGTGAGGGACATGCCAGGAGTTTACTGGGAGATGGGCTCTGCACATGGAAATTTGCAGTAAAAGGAACTCTTGAGGAGGAGTGTGTGCAGTATGGGGGCCTCTACAGAGAGGAGTGTCCCCTAAAGGCGACTGTGCAGCGAGGAGGACTCTGGAGAGGCGTGCAGAGTATGGGTCACTCTACGAGGGAAATGTGCCGTGAGGGGGAATCTGTAGACATGAGTTTGCACTGACAGGGTCCGCAGCAGGCAGTGGACAGTGACAGCATTCTACCAAGGGGTGTGTGCGGTGAAGGACCTCTACAGAGCGCCCTGAAGAGTATTCTACAGAAGGTGGTGTGTAGTTAGGAGACTCTGCAGCAGATTGTATGCAGTGGGGGGAGTGTGGAGTGAGGGGGACATGACAGAAGGAGTTTACAGTGAGATGGGCGTTACAGGTGGGATGTGCAATAAGGGGAATTTGAGGAGGACTGAGTGCAGTGAAAGGGTATCTAGAGCTAGGAGTGTGCCGTTAACAGACCCTGCAGAGAGGAGAAATCTACAGAATGGCGTGCACACTTGGAGGACGCTACATAAGGTGTAAGATGTCAGAAGGGCGACACTACAGACAGGGATGTGTGTTATGGGGGATTATACCCAGGGGAGTGTGTAGGAAGACGGGACGCCCCAGCAAGCGTTGGACGGTGACGGGGTTTGACTTGACAGAGAGGAGTGTGCAGGGAGAAAGAGTATTACAGGAAGGAATGTGTCCTGATGGGGACTCTACAGACAGGAATGTGCAGCCAGGAGTGTACTATCAGTAGTTCTGTGCCGTTGAGAAGGTTCTAGAGACAGAAGTTAATGCACTGTTAATCTTATTTTACCGATCAGGAAAGGGAAGCATGAGATTGCATACCTTGTGCCATACTACGTTCCTAATAAGTGGAAAATCTGAGATTTGAGCGTAGATGAGGTGGTCTCAGGCTGCTGTGTCTTAGTGACTCGGTGTAAGGTGTCAGCAGAAGAGACATGAAAACTGATGCTTACGTTGCAGCATTGCCAATAAGCGCCCTAGCTTTTTACTCCAGTCTGGTCTGCTCGACAGGACACTGTGTGTCTCTTCAGGGGCTTCAGGCTTCTGGTACAGACCACATCCCCTACCCCGGCCTGACCCATTCTGAGGGCAGAGAGTCCTACAGCTCCCTCTCACAGCTCTGCACCATAGAATCCTTCCTTCCTAAGTTTCTATCAATCTAATGACCTTTTTTCTCTTGCCCAGGTGCCCTGGCTGCCAAGAAAAACAGACTTATTGGAAAGAAGGAAATGATTCAGAGGTCTAAACGGTAAGAATCAAATAATAAAAGAACATTTCGGTCCACTTAGTGATCATGGGTGCTAATGTGCCCAGTTTGTTCAATTTAGAGCAAAAGAAAGCTATGAAAGCACCAAAAAGAAAAATGTTATATTAAAAGGATTCAAGTAAAAACGAATCTTCACTACTCAGTGTGGCTCAGGCAGCATCATCTTAATTAGAAATGTAATTGGAAATAATAAATTTTATTTGGGGCTATATGTGTGTCCGTTTATCAGGATATATCCAGTGAAAACCTTGTAGCCAGCTTTACTCAAAATCACTTCAGAAATGCCTGTTGCTACTGTCATTCATTTTTGGTTTTTAGAAAACTGTGTTGCATGCAAAAAACATTTCTGGAAAGATGCAAAAGAAAAGACGAAACTGATAATAGTGGTTGCCTTCAGCAAGAAGTAGCTGGAGTTCAGAGGTAGAGGACAGACTCATTTTTAACCCTCTTTACTTCTGTGGTACTAACGAGCAACAGTGCAAAAAAAGATTGACCGAAATGACCCTAACCCTGACTAAATGTCACCAGCTAAAGCACACAAGTAGCAGAATGGTTAAAAAAACAAATCCCATCAGTATGACACATCTGAAAAATGAGAAAGATAAAGATCAAAGGTGGAGGGGGAAATCTACTGAGGAAATGGCCTCTAACAGAAAGGGGGGTAGCACTGCTAATCTCTCATAAAACAGACTTTAGGATGAAAACCAGCAGCGAGACAAGGGACACTGAATAAAAGGCTCAAAGGCACAATATAGACCAAGAGCACATGGTTGTTGTATACCTTCGAGTTGGAGCTGCCCCTCCAGCGGATTTTCAGAGGCAGTTAATCACATGGGAGGGGACTGCCCGTCCTCCTCCTGCAGAGCAGCTGGTGGCCTCGAACCGTGAGCCTTTGGGATCACAGTGCAGCTTCTTGCCACTAGGCCACCAGAGCTCCCTTGCTTAATATCTATATGTCAAATAATGGAGCTGCAGAATACTTAAGCACTGGTAGACATAAAGAAAGAAATAGACACCACAAGAGTAGGAGACGTCGGAACACCATGTTTAGAGAGGGACAGGTCCACTTGAAATAATCTCAACAAAGGCGCAGAAGAACGCACCTGTATCAGCATATTCAAAGTACTTTCTAGAAAAACTCAATCCCTTTTTCTCCAGTGCACACGATACACTCTCCAGAACTAAACATATATTAGGGCACAGAGCAAGCCTCAGCAAATTCAGAAGCATCAAAAGAATACAAAATACATTCTCAGACCACTATGTCATAAAACTAGAACTTAGAAACAACAGAATAAAGGATAAAAAAAATTACCCACGGGGAAGCTAGATTACTACTGGGTATAGCTGTGTGACATCGGGTCTGATCCAGCCCATAGCTGACCCTCCAGTGGGTTTTCAGAGGCAGTAAATCACATGGGAGGAGACTGCCCTTCCTTCTCCCAGGGAGAACCTGGTGGCTTCGAACCATGTGCCTTTGGGAATGCAGCACAACTTCTTATCAGTGGGTCACCAGAGCTCACTGGGTATAGAAGAAATAAAAAATGAAATTGAAAAGTTCCTTGGCACAAATAAGAATGAAAACACAAGCTGCAAAGACAGTGCTAAAGATCAGTGCACAAAGAATTAAAGCAGGGACTCCTTTGGTAGGGCAAGTTGCCCTCCTATTCTCCAGAGTGGTGGGTGCCCAGCCAGGGGAGCTTACCCCTGGCCAGCGTAGATCAGAGAGGACTTGAGGGAAAAAAATCAGTCACCTTCCCCTTTCCTGGAGCAACCACGTGAACTTGCCCACCAGCCGCACGAGAAAGAGGACTTTTTCTATAGGGTGAGTTGCCCTTCCCCTTCCTTGGAGAAGAGCCCTAACCAGGCATGCTCTTCTCTGCCAGTTGCATGGAACCAAGAGGGGACAAAGAAAAAGCCCTGAGCCACATGGCTTTACCAGCAAATTAAAAAAAAAAACACTCAGATTAGTTGTCACCAATTCTATATATAAAGTATTTCAGAAAACAAAAAAAGGAGGAATACTCCCAGCTCATTCTATGAAGCAGACTTAATCTTTACCTGACAGACCATAAGACACCACTAAAATAAAAAAACTGTAGAGCAGTATCTGTCATGAACATAGACAACTCCTCATTGGCTAGTAGAATCCAACAATAAATATAATAGTTCATCATGACCAAGTGGGATTCATAACAACTTATGAGTGATTGTATGAAAACCAGTTTTTCTTAAATTTTTACAAAGCTGTGCTTTAATCCAGTGCTTCTCAGAGTGTGGCCCTGGCCCTCTGAAGCTCATAGAGCTCCTGCCAGGAGACACGTGAAGACTCATCTTGGAGTAATCGCAGGAGGCTGTTTGCCCCTTTTCACTGGGCACTAACAGTGCAGAAGCAGTGAGTTGGTGGCACCGAGTAGACGTGTGTCCCTCACAGCTGCGTGCGAGTGTTTAACATAGTGGTGTTTTTAAAGCAAACCTGCACTGCAGGACCCAGCTGACACTGTGTCTCTTCAGATCCCCTGTCCATAGTCAGAATAAGTTGCTTCATCTCCTGTGACTCCGTGCAGCCTTCTGTCCACGAGCAGTAGAGTATCTTGCTTTAGTTTTCCTTGTGTTTAAATAGGTAATAGTAATCCGTGTTCATTCTCTATGTTGAAACAGTACATTTTTGTACCTAGGCTGAAAAACCAATGCCCTCTATGATTCTGCTCTTTCCCACAAGTAACCCCACGGGGCAGGACCTGACTGTGTACTTACTCAGCTGTCTTCCCCTCACCCTGGACTCAGGGTCACTGACACCACCGCCCAGTTCACCAGGAGGCTGGGGGTGCAGAGGGGACCAGGCCTGCCTGTGGAGAGATCGCTCGGTCACTGGTGCTGTGGGCTGTCCCCTCATACCTCACCCTCATTGACCTCCCATCGGTGCCATTTCGTAGGATTTATGAACAACTTCCAGAAGTTCGCAAGAAGAAGGAAGAGGAGAAGCGGAGGTCAGAGTATAAGTCCTACAGGCTGCGGGCCCAGCTGTATAAAAAGGTGGGTGGCCCGTGCCGGGGAGGGTGCTGCGGGACACGGGGAGAGATGGCCGCTCGTCCAGAGCTGGCTGAGGCTGTGCCATGACCCTGAGCCGTGACGCTGCCCCACCTGTGATGGGATTTCTGACCAGGCTTGGCCTCTGGCATTCAGAGCAGTGCCTCTCCTCAGGCCCCGCCGTGCACACATTTGGAATGAAGCAGATCCCACACGCAGCTCCGTTTAGATGACGTGATGATGAAATCCATGTCTACTCGAGTTGGAGTGTTTTCATTCCAGGCTCACACGGGGCGACCTCCCGGCTGCCACTGCTCCCCGTCCATGGTGACACCATGGTGCTGCTTCATTCAGACACCTGACCCACCCCAGTGCCAGAGGGTCCCAACTGCCATTGTCCTTGTGGCCTTCACTGCACCTGGGTGATTCTGAAAGTCAAGACGAGTTCAGGCCGGGGCGAGATTGGAGGACTGGCAAGGGCCCGGGCTTCCGTAGTTGGGGGCTCGGAGGAGGTGGCCAGCGGCCCCCTCGTCTGTCAGCCCCTGTACATGAACAGACTGTATCTGTAGAAGAGCCATTGATTACGGATCAATGTTTGTATAATGACCGTGGTTTCTAGAGCTGAGGGGCTGAGACGGGATCGGTCAGAGGCAGGCAGCTTGTCTTACGGGTGCAGTTTTCTCCCCAGAGACTAAGTTCCTTCCTTTCTCTTTTTCCACAGAAAGTGGCCAATCGAATCCTGGGGAGAAAAGTTCCCTGGGACTGACGTAAATTATTTTCTTCAGAGTCCCCGGGAGTGTATTTTCTAAACCTGGAGAAGCGCAAGCCCTTATGAGTATGCCTTCAATTAAGTTTACGCTGGTCCCTGCGTGGTTCAGTGGTGCCCTTGGCCAGCGTCGGGCAGTGCCTGCGGCACTGGTGCCTTCTCACCATCACCTCCTCTTAATTCTAGTTTAGCGTGAGTCCTGTTTTGTATGTGTTTTTATACTTTTAGAAAATAAATCACTTTTTATCACCTCCTGGTGAAGCACACACACAGGGTCGTTTCTTTCCCTCTGAAAGCAGCTGCAAGGATGTCGCTCTAGAGGGAAGTGTGATGTGGGGAGCACCCCTCATGCGGCCCCATCCGCTCACCCCATGGTCTCACCAGGCACGGCAGTGGTCAGCGTGCTCTGGTCAGCCTTCCCCGCGGGCTGGCCTAGCAGCCTTGGGAAGGAAAGCAGCCTCCTCGTAGACAGATCTCCCCCCATGCCCTGTTGTACATGCAGTTAATGTTTGTAACGTGGGAATGGCTTCTGAAAAGCCTGCCTCAGAGAGTAACAGGGTCTATTTCTCGGACCTAAAAGTACAGCTGAGGCTCACAGTGCCCGGGGGCGGGGGCTGAGCACCCCACAAGCAATGAGGCCTTCTGGGCGCCCCAGAGGCAGGTCCTGCCAACAGGCTGGAGCTCCTTCTCCCCTTTCCTGCCAGGACAGTGGCTCTCGCCACTCTGGGCCAGGTTGACTGAAATGGGAGCGCTAAGAGGACTGCTGGTGGTCTCGTGGGTAAGCAGTTAGGCTGCCAACCCAAAGGCATGCAGTTTGAATCCACCAGCTGCTCTGCTGGAGAAGGATGGGCAGTCTCCTCCCATGCGGGCTGCGGCCTCTGCAGCACGTACACATGACTGTGTTGACAGGGTTAGCATGCATCTTCAGTTCTGAGACTGCCCTCGATCCTGTGCCCAGAGCGAGCTGGGTGTCTGGTGAGGAACCTTCAGTGTTGCCCACACCCTAACTTTGGGCGCTTTGTCCGACAGAGCCCTTCCGTCCCCTCTGATGGGCACTATAGCTGCCTCCCACTGCCTGCACAGCTATTCCTGAAATGAACTTGTAACACAATTAGCAAGAATTATGTGAGAGCAGCCCCAGTATGCAAATCTGAACATTTGACAGATGGTTCTGTTCAGATGATTCACCTGTTCCAGCAATACCGCTGATAACACACATGCAAATAAAAGTTTTGCTGGAAAAGATTAAAAAAAAAAAGATTGCAGCGATCCGGGAAGAGGGAAGTGCTGAATGTCAAGGCTGATTTGGGAGAGGACGTGAAACAAGGGCTAGTTAGTGTCTTGATGTTAGATGGTCAGTGACAGTATTCCAAGCAGTGTGGAGAACCAGCAGGATGGACAGCAAACCTGCCCCCCCCGTAACGTCATGAGAAATTTACAAGAAATTTCTATCCGGAAAATCCTAGCAACCTGAAATGTCTGAGAGATTATTAAGAGCAAGCTTGGGCACGAGAGTAAAGGCATGAATGAAGACTTGATTATCAACACCATGAAGCAGGACTGGGCAGGGCTCAGGGCCCGTGAAGAGAGGGCACAAGAAGAGTGACTCGCCCTCCTGCCATTGGGGCGTCCACCACGGAGAAGACAGTACCTCATCTCCCCACTGGTCAAGGACAGGCCGCTGGGCGAACTGCCATGTGAACGGGTAGGACACGCCTCCGCCCCATGCCAAGCAGGTCAGTGCCATCTGAGTCTGGCAAGAAGATACCCCCAAGCTGAGTAAAGTGCTTTTTAATCTCACACTGCAGAGGTCAGCACAGGAGATAGGGATTTGGGTGTGTATATTATCATAGGACGGACAGCAAAAGTGGAGGAAGACCCTCGACCAGGTGGGCTGACACAGGGCAGGACAGAGTTCAGGTCTGTACACAGGATTGCTCCATGGCACCTAACAACATTTATATTAAAAAGGCAGCCCCATTGCACAAAGTCCCAGCTTCCTGACGTTAGCGGGCCCCGCTCACTGCTGTAACAAGCTTCCTGTCTGTGATCTGCGGAGACAGCGGAGGATGTGGACTGATGTGTTGGTAGGGATCATGGGAAAAGCCCAGGCCAAATCCACCAACAGGTAGACTCCTGAGAACCCACCCAGCCGACCCACCTTAGAGTTGGGCCAAGCCCAGCACCGCCCCAGCGACCTGAAGCTGCACTGTGTCCACAGGGGGGAGAATGCAGAGGTGTACTAACATGGAGCTCCAAATCAAATGACCAGAGTAGAAAACAGTTCTTGGGGCTGGGGATCCCGGATGTTTGATGTAGAGTAACATGAACAAAAGAAAAAGGTCTCAATCAGAAATGCTTTAAACAGACACAGAGGAATTGAGAAAGACTGCCTTAACCCAGTTGTGTCACAGGGGGCAGGAGTGAGAGATCTTTGTGAAGACGCTCAGAGGGGACACGGACCTGGGGAACCTCAATACCGTGGATTCAAGAATGACTCACAGGTGACCCTCCAGTCACAAGGAAGGGAGGGAGGGGAGGGGAAGAGAAACAGACCATGACTGAAATTCAAATCCACCCGAGCCTCAGACGCAGGAAGGTGGCCAGTTTCCTCTGGAAATCACATACAGCATGAGAAAGCTAAGGAAGGATCACTGTGTACTAGATTCACTGTTGTCATTTCCCTCTGTCATGACAAACTGTCCACAAGGCGGCAGCAGTGAACAGTGCTGCTGTCAAAACAACTGGCCAAGCTGTCATTGAGGAGGGAGAGGAGGGTGGTGCAGCGAGAAATGGGGACCGCCGGAGTATATAATACCTTAGGTTTTAAATCAGCTCACATGAAATAAAAAAAATTCTCGGGTAAACATTCAAGACGCTTTAAAATAATTATGAAAGGGAAATAGTCTGGTCTACTGAACACATGCTGTGCATCAGAGAGCTTGACAATGACAAAGGATGTAGAATTGTTGGCTTTGAGCTGTGGTGCTGGAGAAGAGTATTGAATATACCATGGACGGCTAAGAGAACAAAGGTTCATCCTAGAGAGGGTGAGACCAGGCTGCTCCTTGGAGGCAAGGATTCTGAAGCTTTGTCTAACATACTTTGGACATGTTGTAAGGAGAGACCAGTCTTTGGAGAGGGACAGCATGCTTGGGAGGGTGGAGGGACAGCGCAGGAGAGGAAGACCCCCTCAAGAGATGGATTGATTCGTCACTGGGGTAATGGGGAAAGATGTGTCAGAGACAGTAAGATTGGTACAAGATAGAGCAAGGTTTAGGACTGTTGAACTCAGAGCACCTGCACCTGAGGAAGCACCTGCCCTGGAGTCAGGTGGGCCTGACAGGAGACCCTCCAGTGGGGTGTTCAGGGTCTGAGAACGACACAGGAGGTCGCCCATCTTTTTTTCTCGGAGCAGCTGTTGGATTCAAACCTTAGCAGAGACACCCTCTTTCCTCAGCAGCTTGTGCACTGAATAGAACCTGGGAACATTTGTCTGCTCACTCCTGAGGGCGATTTGGGACTTCAGTGATAAGAAGTCATGCTGCCAACCCAAAGATGCATGGTTCGATTCCCCCTCTCTGCTAGAAAGACATGTAACCTTCTCCTGTGCAATTTACAGCCTCTGAGAAGCAAATGGAGGGTCACTTATGAAGTTAGTTCAGGATCTGTGGTAAACAACACGTAGACCTGTTTTCTGAGTGCACTGTGCCCTCTGCTGCTAATGAAAACAAAAACAGCAGCAACAAAAAACAAAAAACCTGGCCATTCAAATACACCAGCAGCTCCCTGAAAGGAAATTTTCCTCTGAATAATTTCCCACATGAGAAGCCTAAAAATGGAGAGATTAATTAGGTTCACTGCTGCTGAGTCAAACTTAGGCCTGATTCTGTTACTGATCTCTTCCCATCATTCAAAGCTGCGTTAAACTAGACAGCAGTCTTGCGCAATGCTCTCAAAAATATGGCCAAGCTCCGTGAACAGAAGGGTGGTACAGTGTGAAATCGAAATGACCAGAGTAGAAGAGTTCACAGGGGAAACATGTTCATGTGAAACAAAAGTCTCATTTTAAAAAATCAAACTCTTAGTGAGCTCTGGTAGTCTAGTGGCAAGAAGCTGCACTGCAATCCCAAAGGCACACAGTTCAAATCCACCAGATAGATGCTCTGCTGGAAAAGGAGGGACAATCTCCTCCTGGACCAGTCAGATCCAATTTGATGGTACACGCACACAAAAAATACAATTTTTTAAAAAATCAAACTTTTTAAACAGACACACATACGCAATTAAGATGGCCTTACCTAACTGTGGGATGGGAAGTAGTGAGAGACCCTGGGGAGATGCTAAGAGGGTACCCGGACCTGGGAAAACTCCATAGCACGGAGACAAGAATGGCTCCCAAGTGACTGCCCAGATGGTTTTTGGAGGCTTTCAATCACAAGGGGAAAAATATCCATCTTTCTTGTCCAGGAGAACTGAAAAGACTCAAGTACTGGGAGAGGTGTTTTGTTTGAGTGAGCAGAATAACGATATATAAATCAAGTGACAGACTGCATTGTCCCCTCACCCAAAGGCTGGCGATTCAAATCACCAGCAGCTCCACGATATTAAGATAGACAGGGCTCTCACAGCATTAGAAACTGAAAGAGGGTCCCTGTGAAGTGGATTTCTTGCCTGCTGAACCCTAGGGACTGGCTCTTTCTCCTAGTCATCTGTTCCAGTAATGCCAAGCTGTGTCCACCAGGCGGCAGTCGTGGTCAGTGTTCAACCAGAGTAATAAGAGTTCATAGGGCCCCCAGTGCCTATGCTTGTAATGACAAGCTGTGTCCACAAGGCGGCAGTAACGAACAAAGCCCAAGTCATATTCCTGGCGAAGCAGCCATGCACCTGACAGTGGAAGATGGGACAGTGAGTACCTGAAGTGACCAGAGTAGAATACAGGCCTCAGCAGGAGACAAAGTCGTAAGTTTTTTTGTTGTTTTGTTTTGTTTTTACCTAAA